GCTATGGAAGTCGAGGACAGAATTGCAAAGTTCGTTGGAAAGCCAGCTGCTATGGTCTTCTCTATGGGATTTGCTACCAATGCTTCTTCTTTCCCAGCTCTGGTTGGCAAGGGATGTCTCATCATTTCTGATGAGCTGAACCATGCTTCTATCCGAATTGGTGCACGTCTTTCTGGTGCCATGATCAGCTCATTCAAGCACAACGATATGCATGACCTTGAGGAGAAGCTTCGTGAAGTCATCTCTCAAGGGCAACCCAGAACCCATCGCCCATGGAAGAAGATCTTGGTCGTAGTTGAGGGACTCTACTCTATGGAAGGAACAATGTGCGATTTGCCCGGTCTTTTAAAGCTTAAGAAGAGATACAGATTCAACCTTTTCGTTGATGAGGCTCACTCCATTGGTGCCCTCGGCCCCCGCGGCCGCGGTGTTTGCGATTATTTCGGCATTGATCCTGCTGAGGTCGATATTCTAATGGGAACTTTGACGAAGTCTTTTGGTGCCAATGGTGGATATGTATGCGCGGACAAGCACATTATCGACAAGCTCCGATCCACGAATGCTGCAACCATCTATGGCGAATCACCGACACCTCCAGTTCTGACACAGATTCTCAGCTCCCTCAAAATTATCTCTGGTGAGATCTCCCCAGGACAAGGAGAGGAACGTCTTCAACGTATCGCATTCAACTCGCGTTATCTCCGCCTTGGATTGAAGCGTCTCGGATTCATTGTTTATGGTCACGACGACTCGCCAATCATCCCAATCATGCTCTACAACCCAGCCAAGATGCCTGCCTTCTCCCACGAAATGCTCCGACGCAAGATCTCTGTTGTCATTGTCGGATACCCAGCCACTCCTCTCGTCTCGTCTCGTGCCCGTTTCTGTGTCTCCGCCGCTCACAACAAAGATGACATGGACCGCCTTCTCGCTGCATGTGATGAGATCGGCAATGTTCTTCAACTCAAGTTCTCGACCGGTATTGCTGGTGGAGCTGACCACCTCCCAGATGGAGTCAGTCCGGAAATGGAAAAGGAATGGCGCAAAGCAAACGGCCTACAAGGCGTGGTCACACCACCTCGTTGGTCTCTGAGAGAGGTCATTGCAAATGGCGTCCAGGATGTGAAGCAGCCTTTAAGGTGATCCCTGCCATGAGCGCCCCGTCGAGGCTGTCTGGAGACAACCCTGTTCTGGTCAGCCTTCTACGGTTGTAAGACACATGTCTCGGACGCCTTCGCAACGGGCCGGCTGGATTCTGTACATTACCTCGTTTCTACCCGATCGTTATATCCAAGTTTCAAGCGGGCACACGCGCAAGATACCCTCTACTGCCGACGTTGCCCAATTTGGTCTGGTCTTTTATTTTGGGAATAGAAAGAACATTGTTTGATTCTGATTCCCAATGGTTCAATTTCCTTGCTTTGTGTCTCGGGTGTCTTTTTTGGTTGAAAAAAAGACTTTGTGGTGGCTTTGCATTGCATCGCGAACGCAACTGCATTTTGCCCAGGCGTTAATACACTACGGTACCTCATTCGCTTTTTTAGAATAGTTTTCCTGTTTGGTGGTGGTGGTGGTGGTGGTGGTGCGAGAAGGAAAGCAAAGTGGAATGGGGTAATTACTAATATCTTAATGAGATGATGGGGGGAGTTGGGATGGATCGGGGTGTTGGACTATGGTGTTGTATATAGGTTGATGGGAATGATGGTGTTTGGGTGGAGATCGTGTGTGCGGATTGACTGGAATGGGATGACTGCGTGTCTCTGTTGTGTTGTGTGTTGATGATGACACGGAAGGAGAGAGAGGCAGCTGTAGATAGATACAAGGGGTGGAAGAATGAGGAACTGGATTTTCTCTACTCTGTTTTCGTGCATTTATTCCCCCTTCTTTCTTGTGATGCAGTGCCGTTGCTCTCAACTGCGCTTCTACCGGCAACCTGACTTGAGTATCAATACACGGGACCTCGCCCTTGAGGAGCGTCAGTCATCACTCTCAAGCAGTCAAGCCACCACCTACATAAGGCTAGAGACAGAAGGGGAGAGAAGCTCGTAGGCTCTCCAGTTGCTACCACCGAGCACTCAATAGTCGGTAGCCGATACAGGATCTATAATCTCTATCTCCTAGATGAGGAGAGGTCTTCGTTCAACTCCCTCCGTTACTCACTTACTGACTTTGTTAATATCTCATAATACCAGCAGGCATGAAATAAGTTATCAACAAATGAGCTGTGAGTAGATTGACTGGTTGGTAGTACATCTGAGATTGACAGTGGAGAGAAGATCGATAACAGCATGTACCTCTTAGATACCCTACCCTGAGTATGAATGAGGGAGAGTGGACAGTGGAGATAGCTGAATATTACGGATTTTGGAGAAAGCTCTGGATTTTGAGGATGGGCCGTGTTTACTACTACCGTGAAGGAAGGGTTGGGAAGCAAGCGTCTTGCTGGACCTCGGCTCTCATTTGTTGCGAGGTTGTATTGTTGGTCGGGAGGGTGGTGGGGTGGTGTGGTTTTTATCTTGATAGGTAGGTATTTTGTATATTTGTGTGAGAGTGAGAGAGAGGGGAGGGGGGGAGAGAGAACGATTTTTCAGCGAAATACTTTATTGGCTAATGAGGTAGTATGTTGTATGAAGAGGTGAGATACCTGACGAGTGAGGTTTTGACGGGAGTAAAGAAATGAGGAACTCAATGTGGGGTGGTATTTTCTCACGATAGTGGATGTGGGTGAAGTGGGTTATGTTGAGAATTCGAGGATTATACGTGTGTGTGTGTGTGGAGGTTGGAAGCGTGGGGACTGGCTGGAAAGGGGAAGGATTGATTGATTGATTCTGTTGGAAGAAAATACAAGTTTGGCAGCGAAAGAGGAGATGGCAATATTATTCTTTAGGAGAACCAAGATAAAATAAAACCCGGAGCCAGGCTTAGGGGGACCAAAAGTTGCAAACGATTGTTTTCCTAGTTGATGAGATATTCCATGATGCAGGGCTCCTGAAGAAGCTACAAAGAACAGTTCCCAATACCTAGTGCCGTTGTTTGAAGTACTTGTGTGCGGATTGGTTCATACAAATCGCCTTCATGTTTCATTTATATGTGCAGTCTCTACAGGTAGGTTCACACTACTTCTGTGAATACAGTGGCTTTTTCTTCATTGGAATTAGGCAAGCACTTGGGGGGAAATCATACAGAGGCAGTCTCAGTAGGAAAGTATCAATTTGATCTTCCATGCGTTATTCCCCTGAGACTCTTCCTTTCTCTACGGCCAGAGTCACATATAAGTATTGCCGAGTGAATGAAGCCGTCTCTAGTGGAGTCTGAGAATAGGGACAATAATTGGGGGAGGTCACCTCCCTATATAAAGCGGTTGAGAAACCAACAAGATCTTTTGCAACTCTTGGACTGTGCCTAGATAAAACTCAGTAGTTAAGACGTCGCTATTCTCGTTAGAATAACTTCGGGAAAACTAGGTAGCAAAGTCTAGCTTCTGGCTTGAGTCAGGAACCGGTGGGGATGTTCAGTGATCGACAGCATGAGATTTGTTGGCAGTAAGTGGAAACTTGACAACAGGAACAAAACCGCACCTAATGATGCCCCCGCAGCCTCTTGAACCGAAAATAAGTTGAAGAGATCAAGAGTTAAAGCACATGAAGAAATACACCCTCCTGCGCTGCAGGGAAGGGCAGGCGATTTGAAACCCCATTTGCAGCTGCACCACATTTTTCCACTTATTGCCATGCTGTCTGTGTTTGGTTGCTGAAAGTTCCTTAGTCTGATCAACTATTTATACTCGACATTCGCAAGTGTAAATAGATATCATTGACCAGGTTTTATTACTCCCATCTTTTGTCGCTTGTACGGCACTGTCCGAAAACGGGCTGAAGAAGTGAATGGGTACTTTACAAGCACCTTCTACTTTGCTGCTTGGGCATGATGTAAAAGATTTCTGTGATGGCTTGTCTAGACTGCCACGACTCCGAGGTCGAAGGTATAGGAGAGTCTTATGGCTTGCTGGAAGTAACTGCTGGCTCTCTTTGAATAGGCTGGATGCGCTGAGCGTATAGTATATGAGAGTATCTCACTACTAAGTCTTTCAAAGAAAATGAGAAGATCACCTAAGAATGGTGAATATTCCTGATTGGGATTTGAAAATCTTAGTCGACTTCAACATTAACTTGACCTCTACAACGATGGAGGACCTACTATTTCCCTAGTACAGAACGGACCAACTTACTAAAAAGCCTCTTAGAAGCGATAGGCGATGTAACACCACACTTTTATCGAGATTGCTCGCATTTCCCCACCAATGGTTCGTAGTTTTACTGCACAAGCTATACTATAAGTAGAATATGTAATCTAGTTCTTTTCTTTATCGCTAATGTTCTGATTAAGACTAATTGATAATAATTTTGAAATCGACAGCAGGCATCTTTTAGTTGAAGAATTTGAGAAATGAAATGCTCGGAATTCCATACAACGTAAGAACCCGAACAGATCAATAAACTGGCAATGCATCCCATATATTACATCTCAGTTACTGAAGCACTTTCTTTCCCATATGTAACGTTCTGTCAATTTAAGGTGGGGCCTCGTGGTGCAAGTATCGTGAATAAGACGGGTGCATTTACACAGAAGCGAGAGATCTTCAGCCTCATATAAATCAAAGCTAAACAAATATTCAAGCCGAGGAACTATCTCGGTCGGTCAGGAGAATAAAATAAAACTGCTGCGAAGAGAAAAATGTCTTCAATCCACTTCAGGAGGTGGCGGTCAAGATTTTTTCCCGCACCGCAAGCTAAGCGAGCCACCTCGACATCCACTTTCCACACAACCCCCTGAAATGGAAATTACAATGTGTAAGTAAGTCTGGAATAAAATTATATACCGAAGTATGAGAGTCCTCTCAACTGGGAACAAAGAATCAAAAGCAAAAACAAAAAAAAGATATTCTCTCGAATTGGACGAACAGGGAACTATTTCATGTTAGAATTTGCTGACTTTCAAGTTAAGGGTATGGGAGATGCTTACTCGAACCCTGGACCACTTCTATGCTAAAGAAGTATTATACCACTAAACCATTCGCCCTTTGAGTGAGGTGTTGTGTAAGATGATGTCCTATTTGATCTTGTATTCTTGATAGAGATTTCTAGGGAATGGGTGGAGTTTTGGGGGGACTTCGGGTTGGTGGCGGTCAGATATGCGTACTATACTTGGACTAGGCTAGAGACTATGGCTATGGGTGAATAGGTGAGGCTATGGGAGGGAGGGCTTGATCTAAGTGGATTGCATAAGTCAGGTACGAAAGTGTTTTTTTTGCAGGTGGACCTGCAGGGTGGAACCAATTATATTCACTTGGGTGGAGCTTGAGTAACTTGAGTTCTACTGGCTGAAGGAGGTGAGGTGTCGAAGCGAATGTTTACAGTTACAGTTTACTTGATTTGCGTTATTATAATTGGAGATAAAAGGCCAGCTTGGAATCGTCTCTTAGATCTTCAAGGAGCATGGGCAGTTCGTTGCGAAGGGATAGATATTCGAGAAAGCACCTGAGCAATTTATATTCAAATCAATGAGCTGGGAAGTAGGCCTTGTGTGAATCTGAATCCGAATCGCTACACAAGAAAGTCGGCAAAATACTGCAAATACGTGTCTCAATATTCCTGTAAGGAACTGTGACCGTTTGATTTTGGTAAAAGGATCCTTTGCTGACAACAAAAGCTCAACTGACAACCACTTCCTCTCAAATCCAGGGCAGGAAATTCCGCTTTATCTGAGAGAGAAGAGTAACATCATTCTTTTCCAAATCCAAGCCCGTGGGAGATCTTACAAATAGAGCGTCCGGCACAGATCAAGAGACGAAGTTGTTTTCTGTGAAGTCGAAAGCAAACGGGTTCAAATAGATTGCAGCTAGAGATGAGATCGCCGGAGGTGTTTATATAGACAACTAGACGGAACCAAAATCTATAAAGATTTTGCGAAGCCCACACACCCTTCAAATCTCGTATGCGAGAAGTGAATTTCGGGCTTCTCGAGTGCAAACCTAAAGTTTTCTGAACGACTCAAATCCTTGTGTTGTATAAATACACGGATTCTATGATCGTTAAGAAGTAACAATGCCAGGATGAAGAACTCGAGTTCGATGATATCTGAGGCATGATTCAAAACCGTGAAATTTTTTCTATGATTTCCGATAACCTAGCTTCTCAAATCAAGCTCCAGCGCTCACTGGACATTGTCAAGATGAGCTTTAGAGGACAATACGATGCCAGGGTATGTTGACAGTGAATTGATTGCCGACAGCAACAATTGATTCGGAAAAAAGTAGCACAGCGTTAAACATCATATAGTAAATCCTTTGTATGTACAATCTAGAAACCGAATTTAGGTCCGTGGGCTGCCTGCCTCACTGTCGCTTTAAGCTGAGCTCTGCTCAATCTTCCGTGACTCTACATCCTAGCAGGGTAGCCTTTTGCTAGTAGTCCTGCCATGCGACGGTATGAAAATTGATTGAGCATTGGTATAAATACCAGTACGAGGCTTTAAAAGTGCCTGATATGGATATTCACTCCCAGCCATCCAAGCTTAAAACACCCCTTTGTCAACACTTGAGATCAACTACCTCACAAACTCACCAACATCAACATAACCAGCCGACAGCCATCTGAGACTCGAATCCAAGACATACATACCTTATTTACCACCTTCCGCATCCAGAAATCGCCACCCACTATCACACCCGCCTTTGAGATGCGCAACCAATATATACCTCGCGTGGCGCCCATCAGCTGCAGCATTCCTTATGCAATGCAGCTAGATTAGTAAAGGCGCATGGAATGAGCATCAGCTGGATGGCTTTGCTTTCGCTTGCCCTGCTGACTGCGGCCGGTATTGGGGCATTTATGGTTTCTTGGGGGTAGGCGAGGAAAGCACGTGGATGAGGAGAAGTACGGCGGTACGAGGGAACGGAGGTACAATGGGAAGAGGGTACTTGAGCCTCAAGTCTCGAGCCTTGTGTAGATTTGGTAATTTGGGAGATGGAAGTGGCGAAAGGGAGTATTGGCGGGGGAAGATAGACTTGTGAGGTGGTTGGCATTAAGAAGATGATTAGAGAGATGTGCGGAGATGTGTTGCGTGTTCTGGATGATCATGTATGGCGGTGGTTATCACTTTAATGCGTATGGAAAGCGGATGTCCAACGATTTCTTCGATTGTGGAGGCTGCTGATGGAGATCTTGAGTTTTGAGTCATCCGATGTACGTCTGGAATGATTATCACTACGACCTGGGCGAACGCAAACCTGTCGATTGCAAATTATCAAGTATCGCTGCCCAACTCTTTGGTCACCTTTTGGAAGTAAGATGCTCAACTCTTGAGCACAAGAATTGGAGCCTCAGTCATCAGAGCATCAAAAGTAAACATTGAAGACGAACAATCCGGGCAAACATGCGGCTCTGCTAGCAAAAAAAAGGGACAAGAAAAGGGGTTCATGTGTACATGCTTCAACTTGCATGACATTGCTGCCCAATGTCTTGCAGTCTCGAGGCTCTGCTTGAGTACTAACAATAGACAGTCACTTGTTGTCACTTTGTACTCGGTGACAAGGCTGCACATTCCTCGAACAAACAAGACGGGCGTACTCGATTCGGACGCTGGAAGAAAAAAAAAACTTTTGATTCCATGGGAGGAATGCTCGCACAACATCCACCAGCATTCCATGTGTAACATCGCACAATTCGCAAGACATGCGCGGGAGACTACTGTATCTCTGCCATCCCGCACCATCGTACCATAGTAGTATCTAGTGCCACACAGCTTCAGATACCGTTTGGCTAAACTCGGGACGATCGCATGTATGTTGTAACACAGTACGCCCTGCTTTTGGCGTGGCGTATAGCGATACTCTTCTACTGGTATACCCCTGGCTGTGATCCGTGACTGTTCACGTCTCGAGTTTCATGTGAAAAGGATAACTGATGGATTGCGACCACAGAGGAAAATGTGGGAAGCTTTGCCGGGTTAGGCGGTGGTCAGCTGCATATTGATAGCTCCGGGAGAGTGGTGATTGGAGGAAGCTACGTTTGTTTGTATCTGGATGTTCGGGAAGGGAGCGAGGAAACATCCTGCGTGTCGATTTCGAGCGGGAAGAGGGGTGATGCGGGGTTAGTCGTCTCCTCTCCGTCCTTTTGCCTTTTGCGGGAGTGCTTTGATGTTTCTCCAGGTTTCCAGGAAACCAAAAGCACAATCCCTTGGCCGTCCGAGTTGTGCTGGTCGGCGAAATAATGCTGTGCCCGGCTGTGGTGCGAGATAAAGAGGATCCAAGGATCGAAAGGCGATCGGAAAGATGCACTGATAGCTGCATTGCTGCAGCCTTTGTACTGCAGTGGGGCGCACACTGCTGCAGGGCGTCAACCCTCAGCCACCTGCAACATGAGATGCAGGTGGTGATTTCTTCTTCTTCGGTGCTACAAATTGTGGGTGTGCAGCGAATCTCCGCAAGGCTGTGACTATGTGAAGTATTGCGCTGTTGGGCCTCGCCGAGCAATGTAGCGGTAAGACCCAGTATGGAGTTCTTGATGCATGCATGTATGACGACTACAGTGTTCTTTGCATGAGGTAAAACATTTGTCTCGTTGCATGCTGCAGCGCTTGACACCGAACGTTAGGTGGGTGATGAGGTGCAGACGATTGCCGCTGCATTGCTACGCATCCACAGCACGAGCAGCTGCCATCCAACGAGAAAGACGCATACTAGGGTGGCCACTTCGAATTGAGTTCTAAGGTGGGAAAATAACGGCGCAATTAGCATTTCCCTCCACGTAGAAGTGTTTGTCGACCCAGGCTCATGATAGGAAGTGTCGCGGAAGATTTGGCTATATTAGGACATCTCGGAGACCGACATCACGCCCGAGGGCTTCCTGTCTCGAGTTATTGTAGCCGGGTGCACTTTTGTTTGAAGGTGTGTAGCTCTCTGGGTAATGGCATGGTCGTCCAATTGTAAGTTTGAAATTCGATAAGGCAACCCAGCCAAAAGAGGTCTTGTGGTCCTTCAAGTGACCCGGGCGAGAAAGGCAACGAGACGGTCCGCATATGGTCCGCAAAACTGGGGCGCCTTGTTTCTCGAGGGAGGATGCTTCTCCCACACTCTTTTCGTCCGGCAAAAGCGAAGATGAAGTGGTGATGGATACTCGAGCTTTTCTGCCATTTTCGCGACGACACTTGTCGATCGATGCTCTTTGGCGCGAGAATAGCTCAAGAAGTACAATACTGCATCGCCTAACTAGAGCACAACTAGTTCTGGACTAGGAAGACAAGGGTAAAGGAGAGTAGGCGCCTTACGCGGACAGCAGCTCTCGACATTCCAGAATAGCCAATCCAGTCGTGATAGAGCACGGCTGGTTCAGGCTTCATGTCTTCGCATCAAGCGAGTTATCCTCTTATTGACCTTTTAACTTGGAACATAAAGTTATATATTTGCCAAGCTCGTAAGAGCTCCTGCCTGTGCGGGAAGGAACAAATGGCTTTTGTAAGAGCTGAGAGTTCATGCTCCCTGAAAGTGTAAATCGGTGCTAGTGCTGATGTTGCTTCGATTGGAAATTGATAGCCAGAGGAATGAGTCTGCCTTGCATGTTTCCTTTTCCCTTCGCCCTGCTCGACCGTGAGACACTGGAGCCTCAATCCAGACAGGCTGTGAGTGGCTGCCTAGAAAAGCTGCATGCACTGCCTCTCGAGCTGATAGATATGTTGCCCGTATCGGGCGAGGGCCACGACATGAAGGTCGACTGAAGAAGACCCGTCTCATGGTCAGAAATGCAAAGCGCGCGTTTGTCTTTAGACAACAAGGAGAAGACGAGCAAGTTGGGAGAGAGTATGTACTGCACCTTTCGTACCATAGGAAGGACAACACACGGAGTCGTGGATGTCCTGCACTGTAACCGAGACTCCAGACGAGAGGAGGAGAAGAGAGGAGAGATGTTGTGGTGGCTTGGGCTTACTCGGTGAAGGAGCTCGGCTAGTGCCAGCTGCAGCCCAGGGATGCCAGCGTGACCGAATCAGCGCTGGGCCTCGCTCCACCGCTCAATGCCCCCTCC